TAAGTGGGGAAATGTCATTCGCGGTCTTGAGAAATTGCATATTTGACAAAGGTTATTTTTGAAATCTTTGTAAAAATGAAATATTTTATTGTTATTTCAAAGATTAAAGAGAAACATAAACTCAACACTGGTAGTATTAATATGACTAAATTTTGTTTATAGAAATAACGTTTTTCAATTTTGAAAATATTTTGATCAAATGACAAAGATTATACGTAGTGTATGTACACAGGGTATTAATTTGCAATTCCGTGTATCAAATTAAGCGCAAATTAAGGTTAGGGTAAGGGTGGATTTAAAAAGGTGGTGGGGAATCGTTTATACCAAAAGTTCGCAAAGAATTTTTTTTATTAATGCCCTAAAAGCGGTTTTATAAGCGAAATTTTGAGTTATAAATGATTTTTTAAATAAAGAAATAATTTTACGTTACACTTGATCGTGTAATTTGATTGACTTTCTATATTGTCCGTGTATATACTAGTAGTGTACAAAAGAAATTACCAATGACAAAAACCTCAATGTGGCAGGTTTTTTGAATTTGACCTTTTTCAAAATCCCTTTAATTTAATCAGATTTAGGGCTTATAAATTATAAATGATTACAGATTCGTAAAATTATGATATTATCGTATTGTTAATCAGGTCTATAATAATTTATGTCGGAGATATTGAAATTTGGATGTGTTAAAATTAAAATCCCCCAAAAAAACTGGGGTCCGGAGCATAATTATTTTAAAATTCTATAATAACTCATTTATTTTCGCCAATTTTGACTTACGTACATTGTTATATCAATATGCCAAACAATTTTCTAACACTATACCAATATATAAAAAGATTAGAAGATGAAGGAACAATCGAATTGATAAGATATGGCGAGTTCGAAAAACCACAAAACGTATCTGATGGACCTAATAAGAAGAGTAGATTATGGCACAATAAGCTAGTAAGCCTATGCTTATTGGGAGATTACAGATGTGATACTAATGTCGTTACGATGCTATTAAACGAGGTAAGTGCGTACATACGTACGCATGTAAAGACATTATTAAAAACTAACTCGATTTTCTTTTTTTTTAGCTCAAATCAATTAAACATGATTACGTGCTAGAAGTTTTTAACCTTACTTTTGGTTTGTGCATTTAATTCATCGCAGAGATAAATAGATGTTTTATGTGGGTGCAACATATTAATTATTAGATATCACATAGTTTTTTAATACACCATTTAGATTGCGTTGCTTCGAATCAGAACTCAAAAGAAAACATAGATATTATTTTCGCTCTTTTCGATTTAGTTGGATCAATGAATTTTTTTTTGTCCGTGAGTTCCATGAATCCGTGAATCCGTGAGTTTCATATTTGCATATAACTAATTGTTATGTTATGACAATAAACAACTAACAATTACAAATAATTATTTTATGCAGGAATATGCATATACGAGACCACGGATTCATGGAACTCACGGACAAAAAAAAATCTGCAAAATTCATCGATCCAACTAAATTGGAAAGAGCGATAATTTTTAATGAAATTAACAATTTTGGACGAAATTATAGAAAACGGGCATCTATACTGACATCGAGACACTAATAAAAATTTCGATGATGAAATTTACATATTTCTACTCTATGGCCTGTGCTTCTAGTGTTTTAACTAAATATCAAAATTTCTGCATCCTATTCGCATAAAACATCTATTTCAAATTGACTTTTATTTCGGCTCATAATAATAATTCTTTATATTAGATGACTGCAATTATTATTTTGTCCGTGGCTATTATACCACAGAATTACGCTCTTATCTTAGTCAACTACGTTCTAATGGTACTCCTCTAAGCTGGAGTGATAAAATTACGTTGACTCAGCAAGTAGTTGAAGGTCTAAAGTATCTTCATGATCAAAATATTATACACTCAGAGCTGGTAAAGAATTTAAATATCTTATTATACTCATAATTTCGGCCAAAATTAACTTATTTAAAATTTTTAGCACCCAAAAAATATAGTTGTACATGAGGGGATTCCTAAATTAACTAACATCTGGTTATCCCAAAGTAGAAACGGCAGTTTTTCTTATTCACCTCCTGAAATTCTATTATCTAATGATATTGAAAATAAAACAATAAAACTAAATATTTATTCATTGGGCGTTCTAATGTGGGAAATTTCGAGTGATGGTTTAGAACCTTTCTTTCAAAATAATTCAGTTAAAGTTAAATTAGCAATTGATATTATTAAAGGTTTACGTGAGTTGCCTGTAATTGGAACACCACGTGAATTCATTGACCTTTACAGTAAATGTTGGGATAATGAACCTGGTAAGATTCAAATTAATTTATCATTTATTACTTTATTTATTGATAACTATAATAAATTAATAAAATAATATTTAATTTTGACTAGCTATTCGACCCACTTGCAAAAAAATTCTCGATAAACTCAGAAATATATCACTTTCAGAAGTATATGAAGATAAAGCTCAAATCCCTTCCACTGCTCCGTCTATGCCTAACCCTAAAATCGTCAGCATAGAATCACTGGAATTGAATTTTCAAAAATTACTCGGGCAAAAGCAGTTAGAAGCCGAATTTGTTAACGAATTTGCCTTAAATCGAGGCAGAAATATTCAAGGATTTGATTTCAAGTTCGCGAAAGGAATTATTTTGCGTGATAACGGCAAACCAACACTCCGTAAATTGAGTGCAGATTCACCTATTGTCTACATTCCAAAGTCTGCGGATACTACTTGGGATAATTTAAGAACTACAAGTTTATTTGAAAATGTTAATGTGGATACAGTGGATAAAAGAGTTTTACAAATCCATGTTCCAGTTTCAACAGTCGAATATACGGCTGACGTATCTGATAGTTTTGTTAAAGATATCGAGAGTGCGCTTAAAATTTCTAACGAAATTGAAAGAAATAAGGCTCTAGCGAATCACTTTAATTATTATGGTAATTACGTTGTAACGAAGTTCACACTTGGAGGTATTATCACTATTAGAGATTGGCTAAATGTATCTGATGAAAGTAAGACATATTTATGGAACTATATAAAATGGGGAATTGATTGTGGAAGAGGACAAACATATGAAATTTTTGAAGATGTACCACTTGATAAAATACCTCCACTTGAAGCTGACGGTGAAATGGATACCCTTGGCGACTTATACAACTGGTTTACGAGAATATATGATCTCGAATTTGCCAAAGTTATATCTTACGGAAAGCTGATCCCATCTTACAAATTACTACCAGATGATTTACAAGAAAAATTATTTGCTGTAACTGGCTCTAGACCCTCTGGGGCACCCGAAGGCGAATTAGTTCCTAACGTTCAAGATAAATATGAAAAAATAGATTTTATAAAATGGATAGCATTAAGACCTAAACTTGAATTATTTTTATGGGACTGGTTTCACATTAATTCAATCCAATATGGTGTAATTTTACACGAATCAAAACTTGGACATGGAAAAAAGGCGGCTTTTAAATTTTTGAGAGTGCCTCACACTGAAAAGATCAAAACAATCAAACTTTTATTAGTACAGCCCCAAAATCGTCAAGAAGCGTATTTATTAGAGAATGGCATAAAAGATGATGGCAATTTAGATCTTGATAATATCCCTTTCGCTGAACATAGTTCAATACTTGGCTGTTCTTTAGCAGATTTCAAGTCTGCTAAAAATCAACCATCTCGAGCCATTTACTGCCAAATAATTGTCAATATGGCAAAACTTTCCTTTAATCTTGGGGATATCAAATCCTTACAGAAATATTCAAATAGTGTTAACACAGCGCTTCAAAGCAATGAGCCATATAAAAATCTTTGCAAAATATTTGGAGACGACTATGGACATTTATTGCCAAGAACTTGGACTGTAGGAGGAGTTCTGTCGAAAAAATTTGAATCTTATACTACAAGAACTTTACCAAAAACATTTCAACATGAATATGATATAGAAGATCCCAAAATAATTGAAAAAATTGAAGCACATTTAAAAGAGTGGAGTGAACGATTTAAAGTGGACACATCATTTTTTATTAGTGATACTGGCAGTATTGTTTACCGTGATAAAATTAGCACTTGGCTTGATAATTTCCTGAATCTAACTAATGAAAAAGCGTCCCAGAAAGATCAAAATTGGAGTAGTAATTGGAGCCTTGTTTCTTCTGAAGACTGGACTCCATTATACAAGATTCTGAAAAAAACATGCACTATTATTGATAATACTTTTAGCCAATATCAGATTGTTTTTAATGGAGAAGAATTATTTCAAAAGGATGACCAGGACATTTTCGTAATCAGATTCCCTGGTTCACTTATTGACAACAACTATCACATTTTTGGAGCTATAGTAAAGAAAGATGAAAAGGGTGATTGGATAAAATATGCATATCCTAATTTGTCAGTCCGGTTTCGTTATCAGAATAAAAGTAGTTGTTGCGCGTATATATATAAAGATAAGGATTTCAAGATACGGTATATATTAAGAATTGAAACATTCTGTTATTTTATCTATTAATTTATTTATTAATTTTATTAAATTAATTTATTAAAGGTTAACCAGAAAAGATACAAAACTCATATGGTTCGTACTCGCTGAACCAAAGGGATTTTGTAGCAATAAAAACAGAAATATTAAAGTCCTCTACGGAAAACTCGCCATTAAAGATAATAAATTATCCGACATACAATTAAAATGTAAAAATCTTGCTTCAGATTGTGTTTTGGTAACATCAATTGTCTCCAATGACAATTCGGTGTTTTATAGCATTAAGCCTAAAGCCTGGGCGAAGGCTAAAATTATAATAGATTTAACAAAAGACGAATCGGAACCTGATCCAAAGCATGATAAAGATGGATTTGATGATGAGGGCTCTGATTGCGAGATTGATGATATTGATGATAGCGATGATAAAACAAAACAAACTGCTCAAGATACTGTCCTCAAATGGTGTATAATCTATACTGGTAGAAGAAAATCTATGACTAGTGAAAATAATTCTCAAATACATTCTTGGAATTCATTTGGTGATTACCTCGATGACAGTATGGAACGCCTGGGAGAGGATGATGATTTGCGTTTTGAACAGCAACCTCAACTAACGTTAGAACAAGCAATTCAACAACATAAATTAGATGATGGTGATTTGCTTGAAGCATGGAAGGCCTTCATAAATTATGCTAGGAGTGGAGATCATATTGCACTTTATTGGATTGGATTTTACCTACAATATGACATTTTAACAGCCTCGAATCTCTTCAGGAGAAGATTTTACGATGAAGCTATAGAAGAGTTTGCCGACAATGCTGAAACATACATACAAGCCGCAATTTCGCTCTATAAAAAATCTGCAGATTCTGGCTATGATGAAGCACAGCTAAGATATGGTTTTGGCCTTTATTCGGGACAAGGTGTCCGTGAAGATAAGGGGAAGGCTATACAATATTTTAGATTAGCTGCAGGGCAGGATAACCATAGTGCAATGTATAATTTGGCAATCGCTTTGATATTGAATGGAAATGACGATGAAAGACGTGAAGGGGAGAATTGGATGATTAAAGCGGCCAAACACAAAAATCAAAAGGCTATAGACTATTGCAGAGAATATCATATTGCTTTTTAATTAAGTTTACTATTTTAATAGGATAATTTAAATGATTGACGATATGTAGATTTTTCATAAATATAACTTATGTATTTATGTTTATGTATTTATATTTCCATTAATAAATATGTTAAAATATAAATGAATAACTTCAGTGTGCTGTATTGTTTATTTTAATAAAGTTGTATGTGAGGTGAAATAAACTCTAAATAATTTTAATTCTAAAATTCAGTAGTCTAGGATTACTCAGAGATAGGCATAATACCTATGTTTCCAAAAATAAGCTACCATTTTTTGGAAAAAAAGTTATACAAAAATCATGAAGGTAGTTTATTTTTGAGTAAAATTTCAAAAAAGCTGATTTTTATTAATTTTTAATATTCACAAGTAGTTTTTATATAAAAAAGTCAAAATTCTACTAAGTAAATCAATAAAAGTCGATTAATAAAAGTTGTTTAGAAGATAAAATTACATATATCCAGATATGGCAACTGTAACAGCCATGATGGAATTGATTCTAGAGCAAGAGAATTTATTTAATAAATTGAACATACTGGCTTGTACAAAAGGTTTGTATAATCCTTATATACTATGATTACTAACTGCAAATTGCACTATGATTACTAATACTAACTACAAATTACTTATTATTCAATAACTACATAATTCATGCATTGACTATTCGATGACTACATAATTCATGCCCATTAATTATCCTTTGACTGACTTTTGCTACTATGTATTAATTATTACTTTATAATTTATACGATGTTTTTATGGGTTCGATCACAGGCTTGGGTTACGAGCCTAGATTATGAACTTACAGGTTTAAGGCTTGGTCATGACTGATCTTACGGGCTTGCAGGTTCAGGGCTTGGTTGTTACAATTAGAACAAACTTTAGGGGTCAGTTAAAGATCAGTAAGCAATTTTACAAATCAATTTTTAGAGGCATTATTAGACTTGGAATCTGACAGAATTGCATGGCTATGAGAAGCAAGATTAGTAGCTGTAATTCAGGGATTTGAGTATAAAGAGATAGGGTTAAAAAATAAAAAATTACTAAATGTAATTGGTGTATAAACAGCTCTTATATTCCAATTTACCCTCCTTCTAAAAATAGATCTCAATATGTAAATTACAAAAACTTTCATTAATAAACCTCCTTGGAGTTGTTAATCACCAAAGGTAATTTACTTTTATATATATTGATAAAACAAGTTTATATTATTAAATAAAAAATTTTTTGTATAAAATAAAAAGAAGTATATACAATTCTCATGTATTTAGCTATACAATTCTTAATCTTGAAATCAGGCTTCATTCAGAACATTAGGTTCCAGGAGGTATCTATATTATTGCTAATTTAGCATATCTACTTCGGACCTATATAATGAAGATATTTTTAAATTATGATTCATTGGATCATCGAGAGTGATGTTTTAATAAACACTTTTATCAATGCAAATAATTGTTGGGAATTTTAAAAGCACAATAAAGAATTTTATTGCATGAAATTTAGTATACTGAACTAGAACAAATAGTTAGAATAATTTAAGCATGTTGTATCTTACACAACTTTTGTATTGATAAGGGTAATTTATTGCTTTTGAAGATATTAAAGTAAATAGTAAATTAGAATATAAAAATCAAAATGATATAGAAAATGATGCAATTACAAATAAAGAAGAAAGAATAGCAAGTATTTATAAAAGAGAATATCTAGCAGATTATCTTATAAATATTTAAAATTTTAAAAAGTATGAGAATACTAATGATTTATTATTTCAATAATAGCTGTGGTTTGTTCTTTAATAAGCATTTTAAATTCTTTAATAAGATTTGCTTTTTCACCAATATGCTTATTTTTTCATTTTTATGATATAATCTACAATATATAAAATTAATATAAATATCTAATTTGAATTATAAAGTACAGTATATAAACAATATTACATGTTTATCCTCATTTAGCTCTTTACTTCCTTATGTTTTATATTTAATATCTTAAATAGAATCACTTGTAATAGATATCTTGATACTTGGATTAAATTTTAAATATTCATCAATATTATAAAAAAATTTTTAATCATTTTGTAAAGATTCTTCTTTAGTACTTGCTATAGTATCTTTTATATCACAATATTTTTGAAACTAGGCATTCTACTTCTGCTAAATTGATGTTTTAAAGTGTTTTTTTAAAACAGAACTAGCAATACTAGATAATTGTATATTTGAGACAATTGTATTTCAAATTCTTTCTTTTTACATAGAACTTTTACTTTTTGTAATATTTGTTAATTCTTTCCCCCTCTTCAATAAGTACTTGAATCTTAGATAATATTCACTAATTTGATAATTTATTAGTACTAATCAGTGTTGTTCAACTGAAATAAAACAATTACTATAAATTGTCTATTTAAAAAAATTTAGATATATATATATACAATATATAATATAATAATAATATTAAAAAAAAAAATTTCTTCTTGTTGCTATAAAGCAACTTTCGCTAATAATTTCATAAATTGATTCTGTTGCTACTGCAACAAAAAAATTTAAATTAGTAAAGTTATTTAAAAGAGAAGCTAAAACTAAAGCCAAAGCAACTAAAGTTGAAGCTTCGACAGCTAGTTGAGCTAGTTAACAAAAAAATTTTTATTAGATTTTTTAGATAGTATAATAAAAATTACAAAAAACAGAAAAAAATACTTAAACATTTAATTCTATAAATATTGCTATCAATTGTGATACATAAGTATCATCATGATTATTATGTAATCAATTGATTTGGATACTTAAGAACACCTTAATTGATGATCCTCCAGTCAACTGAAGCATGATATTAGTAAAATATAACTCAGATTACTATATAAATTTACTATAGTGTGAATGTGGCATTTGCCCAAGATAAACTTTTTTCATACTAAGTTAATCATCTTTTTTGTTTAAAAGACTTTTGTAAAGCTTGTTAAGACGCATCTAATAGTAGTTAGAGTGTTAAAATCAGCCTGGTAAGTACTAAAATATTTTTAAAAAAACCTCTTTTTTATTATGTAAATTTCTTTGTAAACAATATCTAACAATACTATTGTTTGTAAAAAAATTTA